GGCCAAGTTAACGGACCCAATTGATAATAACCAATATACTGTCAGTCGGCGGTGAGGCGGTAGATGACGTGGCTTTTACAACGGAAAATCAATTTATCTTGCTTTCAGTGCAGGACGGTTATCTGTGCTTTAGTTACTATTTGTTGTTCATATACCGAAAGATGCATATTATATTTTAGGGAGATTTGCGAAAAATCGACAAATAAATGACAGTGATGTTATCTCAGAACTGAAATGTAATTTCTGTCTGGGTAAAAGTTTGTAAACTTTATTTCCGAGTAGGTATTCATATTTAATTAACGGAATCTAAGCCCAGTTATTTCCTCACAATTTTATTTTATTTTCCAGGATATTTTCTATACTACTGACCCTTTCAGAAACGCCTACTGGACAGAAACTTCATCTTTTAACAACTTGCCCTATAATTTAAGTAGTTTCAGTGCTTCCACGTGATCCTTCAGTGTTTAATGGAAGTTCCAACATCGATGCCGAAGGGATAAATATTGAAATGCGCTCATGTTATAAATTTATGCCATGTTACAACAGTTAAAGAAACACTGTGTGATTACCTTGGTAACCTGGTAAAATGTGGATTAGAAGAGTTTCATCCGAATGAATTCCGTAACTGATTTTCCAGGCTGTCGGAAATTGCAAAAGATTGGGCGTATCATTTCAAGTGTTCGTATATTAGGATAATAAAATCAGAAATTGTCGTAAAATGAGCGATTTGTCTCCCTTTCTCCATTTCGCTAAATTAAGCACCGAACCTATCGAATGTGTGTAGCTTAATAATTCAATGGTCATAAAATGTGGGGTTTATTGGCCTATTACAAAAACTTGTTTACTTGTTTCACATTACGGCAACGCTCACTCTCACTCATGGTACGCTCAAAATTGATACAATGAAATAAAATAGGAACGCGCGTGAGCTTGGTGCTAGCTGTAGTGTGACACATTCGTAAATGACTTCATTGTACGAGTATCAACTGTACCTTAAGTGGAGGGTGAGTATCGTCTTAGTGTGAAACAAGCTTGGACACAGAGGTTGAGCTAGAACAAACATACAAAAATTCCAAGTATTCAGTTCTGGCATAAGAAAAGGACAGTGAATACCTTATGCATATCCAGAAGCCTTTTTGCACCAGTTTACAAATGACTCCTTAACTTGTTTTGGAGGTCAGTACGTAGCTATATTTGCTCAGTAGATAGGTCCAAGTGTAATGCTTCTTTTGCAGCTTGGTCAGCTCTTTCGTTTCCGCATATTCCTAAGTTGTGGATGTTTTAGACCTGCCAGAAATTGCATAAAAGGCGAAAATTTCAGGAATGAAAGATATTGATGTGTACAACTCATATCTCATTTGTACCAAAATTGTACCACAGATTTAAATAGTATATTTAAATCTGTGATTGTACCTTAGTTTCCGACGTTATGCCCCCCCCCCCCTTGTAACTCCAGTTCTAATTGTGCTGGAGTATCATTCGAAAGCTTATTTCATATGCAGATGATGAAAAATATGAAACATAAAAAATATGCAGTTTTAATTATAATTAATTTGCATAATTAAATATTTTTCAAAAAAATGGATTTTATTGAGAAAAAAGGGAAAAAACGTCCCAAATTAAGTGTATTCAAACGAATAGAAAATAGGACATACTTATATTTGCACCAACTTAGAAAAGGGTTGACATAAAACCTCAATCATTACATGACAAGGGTCAACTAAAGAATCGATTAGCAATATCAGCAAGGTGACTCTTTTTTGAGAAATAAAAACAAGTACACACATAAATACTGATGTGTAAACAATGTCAGGCAGAACGTTGTATGTATCAATTAAGACATTTGGAATGGATTTGGGTGCCTAATTGTTTAATTAAGTCCATCAAAATTTTATTGTATCTGTCTAATGTCGTGCGTCTAATTAGGTTAACACAAAACAGTTTTCCAAATGGAGTGTGCAGGTTGTATTTGTTTATTTCCTGTATAAATGATAAATATTTCTTGGAATTGCTAGATTAAGAAATTTTGTACCTCTAATTTTACTTGTTTATCAAGGTGCTCATTAATGCAGTTTCGATGTGAATGATTGAGTTTTTCGTTTATTTGAGAGAGATAAAGGTAATTGTTTGAGATAACGGGGCGATTTTAAAAGGCGATTTCAAATTGATGAGGACTACGTTTTGCTAAGGTTTTTGCTTTCGTTTGGTCTGTGTTCGAGCACTGTGTTTTTACAAGCATCTGGACTTAATTTATTGGAAGCGTTGAACGGCAATTTCAAGTTGACGAGGACTACGTTTTGCCAATTACAATGACAAAATTTTACCGCATTTGCATCGGACAAGGAAACCAATAGGACCAAGTTAATGTTCATTATTATCTGGTTCAAACAGCGTAAGGAGCATAACGTTAATTAATATTACACCAAAACAAAGAAACATGTTGCAAAATATCAGTATAAATCAATTATAACTTAATGATAAGTGCAATAATCTTGACCTGTGATTAATAAATCCAGAGAAAAGGGCACTAGTAAAAGTAAAATTATCAAGTATAAACAATGATTAAAAAAAAACAGTAAATGCATATACACAAAGTTGGTTCCAGTCAAGGTTAAATACAAGTTTTGGATGAGTAGGTAGCAAAAAAGATGACAGGGCACAGGATATGACCCATCTTTAGTACAATAAAATATTTTTACCCAAAGTCGTCCTGAAACCTTCACTTTCATGCCTACTTTCTGTCAGGATATTTTAGTTTCCATGACAGAGGCAGACCAGACTACCTTTTCTGCCGCTCGTCACTTTACTGGCCGCACCTGTCACTTTACCGGCCGCACCGTCACTTTACGTTTTACGTTTATAATGACTCCTGTCATAACTGACAGATTGACATTAATTAAAAATTGAAATTTTATCATAAAATACAATTTTGGGTAAAATTTAATACAAAACTCGTCCGTAAAATGACATTACTTAACTCAGAGATTAAAGTATTCGGCCCCAAAGGGGCTTCGCACTCCAATATTTTATGTAAATAACTATTGTTAAAAGCAACATGGAAAATTACATGACTCGGAGAGAAAATTCAACGTTAATAACATAATATGTGAAAATTAGCGAATCGCAACTCATATCACACAAACCTGAAGAGTTTTGTGTTCCCTTGTTTGGGATTTCCCAGTCGAGATTTAAGAAAAGCCCGGGCATTAGGAACCGTAACTAATGTAGTTTACAAACAAGTCAGTACAGTTAAGAATGACGAATTTACGAATTTATCTTCAGATCATGACCAAATAACCATAAATTCAGCACACATTTACACCAAAAATGAAAACGATTTCAAACAATAAAACAATCATCCTCGCAAGGTCAAAGATCGGGATTAATATAGTTTGTAAATCATTTTCACGATAGCTTAAAAAGTGTACCAAAGTCCATTTTACTTAAAGTTGAAATGTCGATGCCATCCACACTCTTTGTTACATCCTCACTACGGCAACAACGCGCTTATATTGTTTTATCCGACAAAACTTCGCTTTGGTAGATTTTACTTCGATATTTGTACAAGGAAAGAATTCACTATTTTTTGGGTTAATTACTTTTTATGGACCAAAATCACTTTTATCCGTCACGCTTATGCGATTGTTCCTTTTATATGATCGATGCGCTATTTGTTTGTCAGTGCTGCGACACGTATTACTATCGATTACAATTTAAATAATTCAGTCGATTATATTAACACTCCTTCCATTGATGATTTAAATGCGCATGTTTTAGAATTTAGATATCGAAAGGACTAATTTCCACATTTCATGCGATTAAAACGCTTACAGATTTTTTATATGCGCTTGTAAACTACACGCAGAAGTACACAATTTTCAATTTTTTAAATTTACATGTACGAAAATGTGTACAGTTTCACAAAAACTAAGCTTTCTCTTCCGACTATCGTATGTTCAGCTATTTATATAAAATAGAAAGCGGAACCACCGAAACTGCAGAGTCTAGCGTGCCTTTTAAACCAATAGAAAACTCGCATTTCTTGTTTCTAAGCACTGGCACTTGTTTTACAAAAAAATGAAACCAACGTGTAATTGATGCCGCTTTTTCAGATTTCCGTTAGTGTCCGCTGCTTGGGAGAAAAACCTTATTTTTTTCAAACGGTAGCAAATTGTTCTATCGTCGTCATTCGTCATAACAAAAAGAGTAATATTTCCTACATTATTATTTCTGAGCGCTGGATTAAGATGCAACTGCTTGTCTGCCTTCAGTCGGAGTGGTTCAATCTAGAGAAAAATGGAAAACAATCCCAGATAGATTGCAAAGCTTAAATTCAGATTTAGTATACAAAAGAATTTCCATTTAAGAAGAAAACGTTTTACTAAATACCGTAGTATTTATCCTAAGACGCAGGAGCTACAAATTCCCAAATGATATAAGTAGCGGCCACCATTTATTAAATAGCAGTGTACAATAACCAAAGATCCGCTACTAACGGCGAGAGAATGGGATGTTATGGTTTTTAGGGTTCTCCACTAACTGTTGGGTTACATAACCAACCCCTACAGATCAGTTTCAATTTCCGCACAAACTGCCAAACTTACCTACCAATTACGTAAGAGAGAACGCTTAATATAAGACCTTTTCAAGTTTCCAATTTATTTAATTAAGAACTTCACAGGGGTTTTGTGAAATTTAATTGGGTTCAGTGCTTTGGCAATTATATTGACTGATGATTAACGATTCGTCGCTTTACGCGCTCCAATTCCAAGCGAAATGCTTGAAAACCGCCAAAACAAACACACCATTTGAAAGTATAAAAATGGACGGGATATACCATAAAATTAATGATCCAATCTTGCAACCCTCCCTAACGACCGCCGACACAAAGCTTCTAGCGAAATTTGGTATCCAATTTAAAATAGAAACGCCGCGTGAAAAAAAGCTGCGATATGATTAATTAACGATGTGATCGGGCTAAAGGAATTTATTTGTTTCAGATGGTCTTCACAGGAGACGTGAAATTCCAGAAGGATGCAGCAGACCAGAATTTCGATTATATGTTTAAGTTGTTGATAATCGGAAATAGTTCAGTTGGGAAAACGTCGTTTTTATTCCGTTACGCAGATGATAGTTTTACATCGGCTTTCGTTAGCACAGTCGGTATAGATTTTAAAGTAAAAACAGTGTTCAGGCACGACAAAAGGGTAAAACTACAAATTTGGGTAAGAATCGACGGCTGTTGTTACCATTTTCATAGCGCAATACCTTTTAGGATACAGCAGGTCAGGAAAGGTATAGGACCATTACAACTGCATACTACAGAGGCGCGATGGGTTTCATTTTAATGTACGATATCACCAACGAGGAGTCTTTTAATAGTGTTCAAGATTGGTAAGCCAAAGGCGCGAGTGTAGTAATTGAATTAAAGTAATGTCTGTTCAGGGTTACGCAGATTAAGACGTATTCGTGGGATAACGCTCAGGTGATTCTAGTAGGGAACAAATGCGACATGGAAGACGAGCGAGTGATTAGCTTCGAAAGGGGAAAGCAGCTTGCCGAGCAATTGGGGGTGGAGTTTTTCGAAACAAGCGCAAAAGAAAATGTAAACGTCAAGGTAAGTACTATTTACCCAAATTAGTTTGCGAACTCCTTTAATACGGTAACTATTCCTGTTTAGCTTCGCCATTCTGTCTTGTGTAATTTATTTTATTGAAGTTGTGACTAATTGGAGTTAAAATTTAGACGTGGTAACCATGAAAATTTGTACTAAACTCTAAATGCGAGCTAGGAAGAATTTATGCTCACGAAAACTTGTACCATAATTCGCTCGCCCCTTTTTGTTTCGCAAACAAAAGCTCCATCGTAAAGTGAAACCAAGAGCTTGTGGAATATCTCTACTATAAAACTTGTCGCATAAATGATCCAAAACAGTTCAAGTAGTCAGCCTATGTCGTAGGCGTCGATAACGTTTAAGGGAGGGCGCAATTTTATGGATTATTTCGGGCGAGGCTTTGCTTTAATTGCATGTTAAGCATTTGTAAAGCCCGTTTGCGTCATTCACGCATACAACTTCAATTAAGCTCTTTCTATTCTGGAAAACCGATAATTTACCATCAAGGAAAAGGGCGAGGAATGGCGATCAATGACATAAATATGACTTCAGGGGTTTAACTTTAACCAGAAATAAATCAGCTTTATAGCACTTAAAATTCAAATCACTTGCCAGCGGAAATAGGTTATTGCTGTAGATGTGCATTTTATTGTGATAGGTTGCTGTTGTCAAACTATGCTCCCTTTATGCTGAGCATGGGAGTTGACATCAAAAATATGGCACGCGTACTTAGCGTTGTTGTTTCCCACTACTTTTTGGAGTTGATAATAACTAATTAAAAAAACCTTCGTTCCTCAAATTGGGAATTATCAAGATGGCAATTCAGCGCTCAGTAGTAGGATTAACCCCAATTCCCCTGCTACATTTTCAAATAAAGGTTCTGACAAAAAGCTCAGGCGCTAATCGCTAATCAGAGAAACTTCTAGGTGTAACAGCTTAGTTACATTTACAAGGGGTGAAGACCATACCATATTAAATAAAATTGACAATCTACGGCACCGGTAAAAATGTCACTGTAACAATCAATTTTTATTCCACCACCCACGGATAGCTCAGTAATAAAAATAAATTTTGTACCCCCCCTTACGTTGCGAAGAGTTGGCGTTTTATCTCCTCTTAAAATTTTAAGATCAAAACCTGATGCTCTGGTTTGATTGAACTCGAATAAACACGCATGTAAATTAAATTGATTGAATATATTAAGAAAGATAAAGGAGATCTAATTCAATTTTTCTTTACAGGTCTCATAATCGGAAACTAATGCTAAATTTTATCCTTACCTAAGCCTTTATTGATTTTGATACACAATACATTCCTGGTATATTCTGCTAGTCAAAATATACACATACATCTAAATGCTAAACGAAATTTTTATCCAACCAAAGGTATGGGACCAGTGAAATTAAATGAAAATTCCCAATAAATAATGAAATAAGATAACCTTTGTTTGGTTCCAATTGTTATCAAGAAAATGCAATACAAATCTGTTTCATGCAGTTGATTTTCACAGGTCGGTGTCTTTAGGAATATTAAAATTACAGTAAACTGAATTGTTCTGCAATTGCTAAAAATAATGCTCAATAGTTTATATAAATCAAACAATTTAAAGTAACTTACGGTTATTGATGAGGACAGGTTACGGTTAATATCATCTTTCCTTGGAAAATGGTAACTTCGACTTACAAATATTGTAACAGATCGTGATAGTATGGCTGAACTCATTAGAAAAACATTCTTTAGTTACAGCTAATAAGCTTTAATTTCAGTTGGTTAAATACTGTCCTGGTGTGTAAAACATGCTGTTGATACGGATGGGTTTCTCGCGTTATTCAGTTTTATTTTATTTCGTAATTGACGTATTTAGACACAGGTGTTCCTCAGAATACAAGAAACTGTATACTGGCACTCTTTGGTAGAATATAGTCACGAAAAAAATAAATTCGCACTTTATACAATTATTCCAATTATAATAAAAACGGATTCTCTATTACCCGATATGAAAACGCGCTAACACTGTTCGCTTTCAAAGACTGCGAATCTTCGCAATTATGCGAATTTATTTTCTCGTACCCAAGGTGTACGTGCTCGCTCTCGAAGTCAATCTAACATTGCCGGATCTCCCGTTGTGTTGGCCATTTGTATTTGGCCCGCCTAAAAAACCGAAATGGCTTACGCTTCAAGCTGGAGAGTTATCTGTTTTTTCTGCATAGACCTCCATACACGCTAAAACGTCCCTACCTCTTCGTCGCAACGGTTTCTAGAACTGGCAACACGGTCGAGAACTGCGTTTTTCTACCAACATCGGGCTACGTTTTACTCATACATACTTTCTTTCACGTTTACTATGCAGCGGTATATTTGTAATTTTTTTATGTTGAACGAGGTACAAAAATAATTTTTTAACACCGCAAAGCGGCAACTCGTTACACAGGGAACTCAAGTGCGCAAGTTTCATAAGTTGCATTGTAATGGAAAGTTAAAGAGTATAGTAATTCACTCCGGATCAAAAGTTGTGGGCTCAAATTTATTCCCTAGCTATAAAGAACGTGTGTAGACTCCGATTTGGCCTCAATGAAAAATCAAGAAGTTTGAATGCGGTTAGCATAACATAAAAATTCGTACGTGCGCAAAATGCGATCCATTCAAGATGCGAAAAGCTACTCCTCCTTATTCCATTGTATCGCAGGTGCGATATATGGAAGATGCGACAAGCGACCCTTCCCCATTCCGATCTAAAAGGCTAGGTTGGTGCTAAATTGGTGGTTGGTACGAAAAAGGCGGTCGATGCAAAAGCCAGGCATGTCGGATGGAGTTCATTGACGACATGATGGGGCGAGCTCCGTACAATGCCAAAAACATTCTCGGCACGTTCGCACATGACCTCTGGTGTGGTGGTTGGACTGAAAGAGAGGGTTGGAATTTGTAAAATTTGAGGGTTTTTGTGAATTGTTTTAGGTTATTTTATTTTTAGCGCATTTCCACAAAAATAAAAAAAAATGCGCTATTGTGGCCACTTTTCCGTCCGTCCGTCCGTCCGTCCGTCCGCTCGTTTTGCGACGCTACTAGTTCTTTATCTTAAGGGCTATTGTTCTACTTTTTTCGCTATTTGGTTCGTTATGGTGTCGAGTCTTGTACCAAGGAAGGAATTTTTTCTGTACCGCTTACAAAAAAAGTTATTGTAAAAAAAAACAAAAACCCGTTTTTTACATGTTCCATAATTTTACANACTTATAAAAGTATTTGAATGAAATTTGATACATAGGCACTTGGAATAAAGGAAAATCAAACGCCAATTTCAAAATTTGGTTTTGCGCATGCGCAGTGCCAACTTTTTTATTTATGGAAGAATTTAAACGAAATTTGATACATAGGCACTTGGGATAAAGGAAAATCAAACGCCAATTTCAAAATTTGGTTTTGCGCATGCGCAGTGCCAACTTTTTTATTTATGGAAGAATTTAAACGAAATTTGATACATAGGCACTTGGGATAAAGGAAAATCAAACGCCAATTTCAAAATTGGTTTTGCGCATGCGCAGTGCCAACTTTTTTATTTATGGAAGAATTTAAACGAAATTTGATACATAGGCACTTGGGATAAAGGAAAATCAAACGCCAATTTCAAAATTTGGTTTTGCGCATGCGCAGTGCCAACTTTTTTATTTATGGAAGAATTTAAACGAAATTTGATACATAGGCACTTGGGATAAAGGAAAATCAAACGCCAATTTCAAAATTTGGTTTTGCGCATGCGCAGTGCCAACTTTTTTATTTATGGAAGAATTTAAACGAAATTTGATACATAGGCACTTGGGATAAAGGAAAATCAAACGCCAATTTCAAAATTTGGTTTTGCGCATGCGCAGTGCCAACTTTTTTATTTATGGAAGAATTTAAACGAAATTTGATACATAGGCACTTGGGATAAAGGAAAATCAAACGCCAATTTCAAAATTTGGTTTTGCGCATGCGCAGTGCCAACTTTTTTATATATGGAAGAATTTAAACGAAATTTGATACATAGGCACTTGGGATAAAGGAAAATCAAACGCCAATTTCAAAATTTGGTTTTGCGCATGCGCAGTGCCAAGTTTTTTATTTATGGAAGAATTTAAACGAAATTTGATACATAGGCACTTGGGATAAAGGAAAATCAAACGCCAATTTCAAAAATTGGTTTTGCGCATGCGCAGTGCCAACTTTTTTATTTATGGAAGAATTTAAACGAAATTTGAAATACCATAGGCAACTTGGGCTAAAAGGAAAAATCAAACGGCGAGACCAATTTCAAAATTTGGTTTTGCGCATGCGCAGTGCCAACTTTTTTATTTATGGAGAATTTAAACGAAATTTGATACATAGGCACTTGGGATAAAGGAAAATCAAACGCCAATTTCAAAATTTGGTTTTGCGCATGCGCAGTGCCGACTTTTTTATTTATGGAAGAATTTAAACGAAATTTGATACATAGGCACTTGGAATAAAGGAAAATCAAACTCCAATTTCAAAATTTGGTTTTGCGCATGCGCAGTGCCAACTTTTTTATTTATGGAAGAATTTAAACGAAATTTGATACATAGGCACTTGGGATAAAGGAAAATAAAACGCCAATTTCAAAATTTGGTTTTGCGCATGCGCAGTGCCAACTTTTTTATTTATTTTGCGCATGCGCAGTGCCAACTTTTTTATCTATTGAACTATTTAAGTGAAATGTGATACTTAGGCGCTTGGAACAAAGGAAAATCTAACATTAGTTTTAAAATTTAGGTTTGCGCATGCGCAGTTCTAACTTTCTTATTTACAAAAGCATTGAAATGAAATTCTTCTCATAAACTGAAATTGAAGTAGCACGTCAACAATGGATTGCCCATGTGCAACGCTATCTTTCATATTTGTGGCCGGATTTTTACGATTTTAACAGAAGTTGCATCTTACAAATGGGAAATGAATGCAAGTGGAAATGCGCTTTATGTAAATCGTTTACGATTACTTTTTAACTTGTT